GTCGGGCACAGCCAATAGATATACTTCATTGGCCTCATATTCAGTAATGAGTTTCTCACACAGCAAATATCACACATGCAGACTAATACACATAGTCATCCAGATGCGATCTTGCTATTCAACCAACTTTCTTCTCAGAGATAAAAACTACAGACAAGGACTATTTGGCCTCACAAGACACATGCAACCAATAATGCTTGTAGTTTAGTTGCGTGATTCCTCCTTAGATGGACGTTCACAACGATCCTGGTGAGCAAAGCGGAATGACTGTTTGCGCCCTAAAAAGGTTTTTTTTGACGTTTTATAGGTTTTCTACATGAAACCCATGTTGGTCTTCTTCGACTGTTTGTAGCACGACTTCCTCATAAGGAAAGGAAATTCTTCCTTCACCATATGCTTGATTTGGGAATCGTCCCTCAGAGAGTACACGGTGCACATTCACAAAAACTCGGTGAGCGGCATTTGGGTACCTCTCACGATAAAGCCCAGCTGCAGCACTAGCATTGCATCTACATTCCCCATAAATCAGGTGCAGGTTAGCGTATTCCTGTACAGTGTACACCGACGTGGTAGCACTACACAATCATGAATTAATAAAAGTGGCGTTACTATCTGTCTTACTGCCACAACGTAAAATGACACTGTACGTCAGATAACGGGATCTAAAATATCACCACTAGGTGTCCAATTTTTTTTTAAAAGCTATAGACAACTTAGATTATTTTATATTTTTTTGGTATCTATTATATCTTGGCCTATCCCCCGTTTCAGGATTGACGTCGATTTCCGGGACACCCAGTACCTATAAATCCTTTGAGTAAGGGCCAGTCTATCTTGAGGAGTAATTAGTAAATCCCTGTTCATGGTATTATAGAAGTGAGCATCTTGATGAGATCTTAACTCAGTAAAGTGTGCTTTTAGTCATAACAAGCAGCGGAATATACAGGGTGTTATGTTAATAATATTCGTAACTTTAAGAGGTGATTCCTTGCATTATTCTAAGCAAAAAAATTATTATAACTTTTGTCCGAAAATCAATCGTTTTCGAGAAAAGTGAGTCGTAGATAATTAAATTTTCTCAAACATTTGGCAACGCTGCAACGCAACCGCATACGACGATCGCAACTGATTCATCGAATTGTCTACGTTTGTATGGTATTTTTGTTGAAAATATGCCCTGAATTATTAAATACTTTTACGCAATTTTTTGTGGCTAATATTTTTTATTTAATAACGCCTTCAGAACAGTACATTTACTTTAAAAAAATGACAGAACTTACTGGTACGTGGCAATACACACCACCAATTCCCACGATTATCAGTCACTTATTTGAAACGATGCGATGCACGAAAAGAGAAAAAAGAACCAACATCCGTAAATCACATAAAGTTACAGTTAAATGTATTAGTAATCGCAACAACACGCGATGATACATGCAGTGCAGGCGGAGTACGACGTTGCCAGTTGTGTTTGGGATTTTGTTTGTCTGTTTTTCTTTGGAAAATTGTATTTAATAAACAAGTAAATTATTTTGTTAGAGACAGTTAATTAATAAATAGATGTATTGATATATTTTACGCTATTAGGCATATGAATTTAAATTAATAAGGTGCAACATTAATTTATTTCATGACTAAAAAGAAGAGAAGAGAAGTTCAGCATTTTTTTTGCTCCGAAACGGTTGATTTTTGGGCATAGGTTGTAATGAACTTTTTTGCTTAGAATAATGCAAAGAATCACCTCTTGAAGTTACGAATATTATTTCGCTAACACCCTGTATAATGTGTAAACTAAGAATCTAAAAGTTAAAAGACTACTATTTTTTGTAGAAAATAAATTTTTTTTTATACTTCTGGTTCTTGACGTGTGCGAAGGGAAAGTTAAAAATTCTTATCGAAGCAGTCGTGCGACATACTCCACATGCTTCGTATGTTGTCCACGATACCTGCATTCAACGTCAGTTCACGAGTAGATAGTTATGAAGTTTCATAATCGTCATTAATGATCAGGAATACAATTTCATACCTTTTTTTACTACCACGTGCAGTTATGGCAACTGTGATATGAGGATGATACTTGTACCATGTCAAGACCGAATTTAAAGTTCTTACTTTCGATTGCACACATTTACTTCCCATGTTTACTGGCGAGGAAGTATTCTAGTGGCGAAAAATTTCCAAAATGAGATACTATGTTTTACTTCCAACGCCAACTGGCGCCTACAGGGATCGGCCTTGGCTGTGACAGCATTCCTCTTACGTATCAACGACCTCCTGTCCTGTACGATCAATCCACTTCTTAGCTTTGCTGATGACCGCACTCTGCATGCAGCAGTTCAAAGTGACAAGCCGATTTTTGCTGCTGAGCTGGAGAAAAGAAGTTAGCACCGACTGACAAGAGACCTGGAGGTTATCACTGCTTGGGATGCAACAATCTTGTACAGTTTAATGCTTCCAAAACATAGTATTGTATTCTTTATCTGAAGTCACTTGAAATAGCATAAAAACCTTTGGTCGGCGCGTCCTTTGTAATTTCATGACGTATCATAGGCGTGCGGTTATTTATTTAGAACGATAATAATAATGTTTTTATATCACAATAAATGGATTTTACTATCTTCTTATTTTTTCGATTTGGGATAAAAATACTTATATTGGGAGTTTAATTTATGTTGACTGAAAGTTAAGAAATGGAAAAATTACAGAATTCCAACGTTTGACATAGGCAAATATTTACATAGCAGGTAGGTATATAAAAAGGTATATAAAAACGTACATTATAGGTATTTATATATCATCCTCGCCTTCGGAGCTGTCGCTAGAGTCATCTTGTAGAGGAATTACAACGGGATTTATAGAAGGCAAAACACAATATTCATTTTCTTTTTCAATAATATGCCTAGAACACTGCTTCCATAGGTCTGTGGCAGCAATATGAGATACTGCATCTCTTATTGTGGCCAATAGCGATTCACTTAATTGAGGGGTCTGATTATGTTTTCTTACTTTTTTTTAAAGCATCCCAGACCAACTCAATCGGGTTAAAAATGCAGTAATAGGGAGGTAGACGTAATACTTCATGGCCATTTTGCTGAAGCAGATTGTCAACAACATACTCTTTTTCAAATTTTTGTCTTTTAATAAGATCCAATAATATGGCTTTGGTTGATTTTTGTGGTATTTCCATTCCCTTATCCTTCATAAAATCAATAATGTCTTGTTTTTTTGTGCCTGTATTCGGAATTTTGTTTTTCTGTCGGGAATGGTATGGAGCATTGTCCATAATAATCACTGAATTTGGGGAAATGTTTGGTATTAACTGCTGCTCTATCCACTTTTCAAATAAGTCGGAGGCCATGTCCTCATGATAGTCGACACATGATTCTTTGATATTTTTGGCAGATAACAGCAAGGCATTAGGTATAAATCCATTTTCACTGCCAGCATGGAGAATAATGATTCGTTTTCCACGGTTGCATGGTGCATTTAAAATGCACTTGTTGCTGTCGTCAACCCAGCCGTACTGCACATCATGGGTATCATACCACGTTTCATCCAGGTAAATCAGATTTCTTTTCTGCTCTCTATAGAGTTTAACTTTGTGCAAAAATTCTTGGCGCAGTTCAACGATTCGAGACGACTCCATAATCACCATTCTTTTATCTAATTTTTTGTATTGAAAACCACACAGTTTTACAATACAGTGCAGTGAGTCTAAGCATTTGTAATTATAAAAATCTTCAGGATAATCTTTTAATTTATCCCGTATCATTTCCAACGTGGGCACCAAATTTTCTTTATAAAATCCGTATATTATACGACGAATATCTTCCTGAAAACCCACGTCTATTCTTTTTAATTTTTGCCCTATGCGCTTTCTGTGGAAGGAATGGTTGACTACATCTCCCCTTTTTATAACCCGATAAATGGTAGACCGAGACTGATTTTTGTCAGGATACAAATTCTGTTTAAAATTTGATTTTGCGAGGAATCTGGATTTTCGTTTTTCAGACAATCATACATATTTAGGATTACTCTTTGGGTCTGTTCCTCTAAATCTTTATGAAAGAATTCTGCCTGCACAGGTTCATCAACCATCTCCTCGTGGCTTGGAGTATTTTCCCAAGGTCTCAAGAGCCATATTTAGGACACACAAGAACAATCAACACAACAATTAAATCAACAAATAAACAGAGTATTCAAAAGTCAAAAACACACAAACTAATAAAATCTATGAAAAAACACGGACAGACTAAAGAAAACACGTTTATTCACCGCTACACGGCACACTGGCTAAACTGTTTCAATTTTCAGTAGCCACCTGCAGTGCACCTGCACTTGTTCGGAGCTCTGAAATACACGCTTTCTCATTGGCTATATCCACGCATAGGCGTGCTTTACTCCACGTGGACCGGTGAAACTGCCTTTGATCTTATACGGGGGATATTTGCTGCGAAATTTGGCGATTTTTGCAGCAACAGAGCGTGTTAAATATAGATATATAAAACGCACCCGGTATTTCACAGTGTTTCAAGTGACTTCAGATAAACTATACCTTGACGAACAAGAAGCGTTCTAGCGCAGCTCAAAATTATCAAAGTTTCTTTAAGCTCCTCATAGCAGCCGCGGTATCCTGGCACTTAGGCTTCTGCTTGCGCAGCTGTTTCGGTGTAAAAAAAGCAAGCTCAACGGCAAGTTCAAGGTTTGTACTTTGAAATGGTGTCTATGGTTTTTTGTAAAAAATCACCATGCTATATAACCTTAGATATTGGTAAACAGTGCCTTGTTTGTACCTTTTTGATTTGGATTTTTTGGATACTGAAGCGAACTGAAAGATCTGGAAAACGGATTCGTATTCAGTGCATCAAAAACCTTCGGAAAGGTATATTCTGGTTTCTGGATAAGAGGGTCGGCTCAAATTTGTTTGCCTATGTAATTGATAAAGATCTGTAGTGAATCCCGCAAACAGCATTGTTACGCACCCAATCAGTCGCATATGAGAAAAAATATAAATTTGATGATAATGCTAATGTATTGATAGATTTTGTTCCCAGAAAGTGAATAGATTAATGCATTGATGATTGATGAGTGCTTCAAAATTTGTATATAATACATTCAGTTCCTTAAGATCCACTAGTACAAATAACATCAAGTTCGATAAGCCTTTCCAAAAATCCGTACAACATCGAAATATGTCTTTGAAAATCACATTCATTCTTATTTTTGCTATGGTGGCAGTACGTAGTGAGATTCCTGAGGTAAGACTGCAAGTTTAAAGAAGTAACATAATACGAGATATACAAGTAGTAACAAGACAATTTATTGCGGCAATCTTTGAACCTGATGGCCTATTTACCCAATTTAGCTATTATTTTTTATTGAATTCTTTCTTTTTATTCCTCTATTATTTTAATTTTCTTTCATCTTATTGAGAGAATACAGTTTCTTTTTAATCAATTGAAATGTTTTTTTAGATCTCCATCAACTCTAGCAGCGTACCTAACATCACATACGAGTTCGAGGCTCAGAAAGATTTGAAAGCGGCGTATGAGCTGCATCCAAATGATCTTCAAACAGTTGTAAGAATATTTTCTGATTTGTACAACAAAACCTTCCCTCAACCCACCGGCTGGAAGGTTTCGATTGGTTGCAGCCTCCTGTACCAACCTGCAGTTAATCATATTTATGTCGCTTTAAATGTTGTAGGTGACAATAGTACAACTGTTATCACAATATTTAACTAGAGTTTGAATAAATCTTTATTTTATTTTTTTAAGTAATTTGAAATTTTCTTTATTAATGATAGTACCAATTCATGGGCAAAACCCTTTTCAATGGTTTTCTTCTGGCAAATTTCATATTTTATCGATTGTATGATTTCACATGTATTATATCTTTCTTCCTTACCGACGTATTGTGTTGAAATCTTTTGGACACTAATGCTATAATATTTTATTGATGACTATCTCAGAAAATTCCTCATAAAATATCGTTGGTCCCTCATAGAGTTGGTATGCGAATTGGCAATCAGCGCCACTCTCTGGTTTTTCTCCGTACTAACCTATATGCGAATATTTGGTTTCCCATCAAACATATCTTCAAGGCCACTCATTTAACTTTCTTTTATAAAGTTAGGTTATAGGTGGGTATTTCTCAACAAACTTAGAAATATCGTTTTGCATTTCTTTACGGTCATTCCCCCACTTTCTAATATAGTGAGGGAATGACGGATTTGCATGAACGACACCGTAACCAACAGTACATCACCTCAAATTGATTTAGCATTTTGTGAATGCATTGTACTCCCTAAAACAAGAAAAAGGCTTCAAAACATTCGAACAGTGTGATGACATAGAGATATGTAATGTTCTAATTATTGAAATCCAATGCTTTTTTACAGCAACTCTTTTCACTATTACGAAATTCCGCCATGTAGACATTACACTGATCAACAGCCAAAAAATATCCTAAATAAAATCAACAAAATATTACTATTTTTAATGTGCTAAAACCGGAATGAAACTTATTTTTTCAATATTAGTTCAAGTTTTAGAGATACGGTAATTATATGTGTTCCTGCTGTGACAGTGTTAATATACTGTAATTCACAAGAATGCACGTGCTACATTTTTATATTCGGCAAGGAAAGATGATGTAATCGGCATGATTGTGTTACGTTATACATACGTGTACATTATATTGTTTTATATTAGCAATTTTTTCCTCAGTTGGCTGACAGCGTTCATGCAAGGTGTCTCGAAAGTGTGTAAACAATCCAGATCAGTTTTGTTACGTGTGTGGTGATGTGACTTTTGCATCTCAGAGACGGTCTATTACTCCACTAATAACAAAGGCATATCAGCTTTATTTCGGTTGTAAACTAGGTGATCAAGACAAACAGTGGGCACCCCACATTTGCTGCAATACATGTGCTTCAAGTCTGAGGAGCTGGTTAAATGGCAAAAAACGGTCTATGCGCTTTGCTGTACCAATGGTTTGGAGCCTACAAATCATATTAATGATTCTTACTTTTGCATGGTACCTTGTGTTGGACAAGCCACAGGTAAGTCCAAGAAAAAAAAATCGGTTATTAACTACCCAAACATACCATCTGCGATGAGACCTGTGCCTCACAGTGACGAAAATCCTATTCCAAAACCCCCAGAATCCTACACTTGCGAATCAGAAAACGAATCAGATCATGGCGACCGAGTGATTCGTCAGGAAGAAGATATGCCATCAACGTCAAGAGATCCTGATTTTATGCCGAGCACGTCATGCCACCAACCGCACAAAATAACACAGTCAGAATTAAATGATCTTGTAAGAGATTTAGAACTTCCAAAATGTAAGGCAGAGTTACTTGGATCAAGACTTCAGCAGTGGAACTTGTTAGAAGACGATGTTTCGGTATGTGTTTTTCGTAAACGCCACAAAGACTTAGAACCATTTTTCAATATGGAGAATAACTTGGTTTTCTGCAGTAACATTAACGGCTTACTGGCGGTTTTAAATATAAACTAGAACCCAGAAGAATGGAGATTGTTTATAGACAGTTAGTTCAACATTGAGTTTAAAGGCCGTGTTATTGCATATTGGAAATATTTTACCATTTCTTCCTGTAGGGTATGCAGTTCACATGAAAGAATCATATGACAATATGAAGTACCTATTGACATGCATAAAATACGATGAGCACCAATGGCATATTTGTGGCGATTTGAAAGTTTTTGCCCTTTTACTTGGGCTGCCGCTAAGCTACAGAAAGTTTTGCTGTTTTTTGTGTGAATGGGACAGTCGGGCAAAGGCACTTCATTACACCAGACAAAACTGGCCTGTTCGTCTATTCCTAGAGCCAGGTCAAAAAAATGTACAGCATATGCCATTAGTAGATTCGAAAAAATTTTTATTACCACCACTGCATATCAAGTTGGGCCTAATGAAAAACTTTGTCAAGGCATTAGATAGAGATGGGTCAGCTTTTCAATACCTGCGTCAGAAATTTCCAAGACTAAGTGAGGCAAAGGTTAAAGAAGGTATTTTTGTTGGGCCACAGATTCGAAATATTTTGAAAGATACACAGCTTGAAAACACTTTAACAGGTATTGAAAAAACTGCTTGGAATGATTTCCGTCTGGTGGTCACTAATTTCTTGGGAAATAGAGAAGCTGACAACTATAAAACCCTTGTCAAAAATATGCTGTCATCGTATCAAAAGATGGGCTGTAATATGTCTCTTAATATACATTTCCTACACTCACACCCGGACTTTTTTCCTGACAATTGCGGAGCCGTAAGTGATGAGCACGGCGAACGTTTTCATCAGGATATTTCAACAATGGAAAAAAGGTACCAGCGAAAGTGGAATCCTTCCATGCTTGCAGACTACTGTTGGACTCTTGGTAGAGATGCTCCAGAAACGATCCATAAAAGAATAGCAAAAAGACAGCGCATATAGTGATTCTTATAAGTATATGAATCTTGTTACTTTTTTTAATATATCCTTTTTTCTAAACCGCAACTAATTTTTTTATTTCATTGTGGTTTTTGGATTCAGCGCCCCAAAATTAACAAAGAAGTGCACTTTTCCCACAAGATACAATTAAAAAACTAAAATTTGTTGTCCAGTGTTATTAGCAGAATTGCCAAGTTTTAAAAACATAACAGCTGCTATCAAAAATATCAAATGATGTGACTACAAATCGAATATTTATAATGGATGAGGAAACGATTTCATTTCAAGAGACAATGTTTAAATAGATTTGTTTATACACATATTTATTTTTTAGCAATGAAAGCTTGACTATACAATCCATACTTATCAACAAATATTTTAGTAATATTCAATTTATAAGAATATGAACAGATTTCATTATATAAATTTTTCTATTATTAATTTCGGACCCAGGGACGAGATGAGGGCATGACTTTTACACTAAAAAATTAATCGTATTTTTTTTGTCAATATATTATCTACATTTTGGCTTCTAAAATATTAGTTTAGATACTTATTGGTATAATAAAACTGTTTGGGATATTCGGCCCTCATCGCCAGGTTATTTTGGTTTGGGAGCTACCCTTCCATTTTTATGAGATTTTAACCTTCAGGATGGGAAGGTATGGAGGAGAACCACCATTCACACTCCTCCAGGTTTGTAGCTGACTTGGAGCTGTTTCCTCTGAGAAAAAAAGATTGCGTGATTTAGGCGCGTTACAACCCCTCCCCCCTTCTGCTTGGAGTAGGAGGGTTCTGACGATAATTAATCATGCTGAGCCACCAATAACCTATAAAGACAAGAATCAAACTGATTATACTTGATCAAAAAGAATATCCAAATTTACACAAAAATTCTCAACCATAAAAATACTCTAAGCCTAAGTAAGCGAAACAACACTAAAGGTCAATATCGGTACAAAAGGTCAAAATCGGTATAAAAAGACAAAATTAGGTAATAATAAGATCAAAATAGGGAAATGAGCTATGACACATCCCAAATCATGAATCGGAAAAAGCAGGAAAATATAACGTAAACGTAAGATAAGATAAACGAACTAATAAAGGTAATCAATACGTAATCTCGAAGATAAAAGGTAGTCTAAATAGGTAAATTAAAAACCCAACAATTTGTCCACTCTACAGGGCAGAACGTAAGACAAGATAAGATAACGTAATTCAACTCCTATCCTCGTTTACATAGATGGATGAATGTGACAAGGTAAGACAAGAGTAAGCAACTAATCCCTCCAGTAAAAGACGAGGATAATAATATTCAGTATATTCAAGGAAAAAAATCACCACTGAACAATAGAAACAGTTATATTATAGAAAAAATCAACAATCAAGACCTAATATGGTAGTGATTTTCTTATCTGAGCCAGGTTGTTCGGATGGTAAACCTTAAATGATATAAGGTGTAGACACCTGGTAGACCTTTACCACCGGCAATTTTTCCGCCTTGGAAGTTATTGGAAAACATTATATGTGGCTGCCTTCTTCTGATTTTGTTACGAAGTATTTTTTAAGTTAGGGATACAGGGTTTTTTTGTTTGGTTTCTTAATATAATGTAAATAAACAAAGGAATTCAGGAAATAAGAACTTTCACCAGCACTTTTGAAATTTTTGTTGGGAACCTAGTGTGGCTCGCCTTAAAATATGATTATGAGCTTATCTTTGAAATAAGGAACATCAACAAACGATTCTAGAAATTATATGCTTGAGTTGGGGTAGGGAGGGGTTGACTATGTTTGTGGGGACAATATCGCTTCCATGTTGACAGACATTTGTCGTGAAAACTATTTGATCTAGAACTTGAAATCTGTCAGAAAGGTCATGTTAGATGAAATCGAACTTTACGACAGGACTGGATTAAGTGAGGCTAAGGGTAGATACACACAAGTACATACTAATCAGGAAATCTCGGAAACTATTAATTTATAATAATCTGGTAGTTTAGCGTAGATTCAAACTGAGAGTGGATTTTATGACAGGATAGCACTAAGGGGCCTAAGAGTTGTCAGATTTAATACCTCTTCATATTTTCTAACTAGAGACCTGATCGTTGGCGGGAATGTAACTTGTACCCCCTATTTTAATGAAAAATTAGGGTTAAATTGATAATATAATATTTTCTTTGTTCTATTAATAATAATAATCATAATAACAATAATAATAATAAATTATTTTATTAACGGCAAAGTTTAGCTTGGAGCTATTCTGCCACTTCACCCTTGAAAATACAAAAAATACAATAACGATTATAAATATGTGAAATTATACCTAAGTATACTCAGTAAATGATGAAAAATTAATCATATAT